CATAAATCAATTATATACATATGATAAGAAGGAAAAGATCCACTCCCCTGGAGTCCACGCTAAGATTCACTAGCATGCACATCAAAAAGTCCCGAACGATTGGCGCCTGTGACCAAGGCCAATTAGGCGGGGAAAAGCTTCAATTTTGTTAAAACCTGTTGGAAACCCTATACTTGGGTGTTTTCAATTCGACCTCCAAACTTACTCTGACGCCTCCACCATTGCCTGGGCTTTGTTCCTGGGTTCTAAGGGAGTGTTTTGGTAGTGGTAATTGAAGGAGGTGGTTTCACAATTGGTAGATCACGAGCAAGGATTCTTATGGCACCCACGGTGCGGATTTCCTAGTTTCAAGGCCAGATTCTCTCCAATTTGGGGTCAAGTAGGTAGAGGGAAGAATTCTAGGATGATTCCAAGTGATGAGGGGTTCTAATTTGCCGGAGAACCACCGGAAAATGCATATGAATTAATGGTGCTGCCGAGTCAACCCGAAATGAAAAACCAGGTAAAGGGATCCGGAGTATCCTTCTCCCTCCTTTCCCCTCCTATTTCCCTCTTCTGGTTGGTCACTCACCTTCCACTCTCATCTCCCCATTCGGCCACTTTTTGCACGTTCTTCTTGCTCTCTTCCTCTCTTCTCCTTCTTTGCCATTGGGCAGCCACTCCCCCTTTTCTTTTTTTCTTTTCTTCTTCTTCCCTCTTAAAAACTTTAAAAAAAAAAAAATAATAATAAAAAGATTATAAAAATATAAATAGTAACTAAAACAAAGTACTTCTCAGGTTTACAGTTCCGTAAAACTTTAACCGTAACTCCAAATTCATTTCTGCTTAAGCCTACGTGTCCATATCGTCGAGTACTACAGGAATACTCAAAAAGAATATCTCGTATGTCTCACTATACGTTGATCAACGAAAGTCAATACCCTCGCCTCAAGGGCATTTTCGTAAATTCATTCTTTTAAAATTTATAAAATAATAAAATTTAGAACGGGTTGTCACATGATTAGTTTGGCAGTTATGTGGACTTACGTTGTAGCTTTGGAACCAGATAGAGGATGCTTGGGAAACCTTATAATTATTTATTCATTTATTATCTGATTGATACATATTGATTGATATTTAACTATTTGGTTGGATTCATAAACTCATTGCCTATACAATTACTTGGATGGATTGATATACATGTTTTTCATTCATTTGTTAAACAATGAACTGATTACCTTGAGTTGAGATTCTTGTGAAGGAGATAGGTAAATGGGCAATGAGGAAGGCTTTTGTGTAGTTGAGCCTAATTCTTGGTAGGTACCATGTTTTAGGCTAGCCCCAAAGTGCACAATAATTTAAGGGTAATATGGAACTGTCGAAAGGGAATTAGGCAAGAGCACTAACAAAAGGGAAATATGGTGTTTGAGTTCAGGTTAATAGGTTTGAAGTGAGAAACTTTGTGCATTCATACATATCATTTTTCTAATGTGTTTTAACTATAAAATAAAATAATATATTCATGGTTATATATATATATATATATATATTTGCATTCATACATATCATATATATAGAGGTATAATGTCCCTACTGAGCTTTATGCTCACCTAATTAAATTTGTGCAGGTTCAGAACCAGAGAAGTAAATCTTGTGCTAGAGATGTTACTGTATGATATGTGTAAATAGAAATAAAATAAAGAGCTTGGTGGTGTTTGCTCTTTTGTTTGAATAAGGAACAAGAAGCTTTATGTAAATTTGTTTAAAGTGTGCTTTGTAAAACTTGAGAATTACCTCTTGGTGAATGAATGTGAATTATGTTTGAATAGGTTTATATCTTCTAATTTGTATTTATTTTTCTTTCTTCATTTTTTAACTATGGATTAATCTGTTCTTAAAGATTTTATTCCATATTAAATTGTGAATCATGCTTTAATTAGAGTTTTAAGTTAATTTTCCGATTGGGGTGTGACATGTAGGAACTTTTCTTTTAATTTATTCACGTAGCACTCGTCGCTATGAACGTGTGGGCACAAGCGGAATCGAATTCGGAGTTATGATAAACGTTTCAAGGAATTTTGAAGTTGAGGGGCAAAGTAGTTAGTTTATTATTCTAGATATTAGGGTTGGATAATTGTTTTATTTTAATAATTTTTTGGTGGGTTTTTGTGGCCCGTGGGGCCAACACCCCACTTATCCTCTTTCCCCGTCTCATTTTTCCTCCCTAACTCTTGGAGACTCTCGAATCCTCTCCCTGTCATTTTTTTCTCTCATCTTCACTCTCTTTCTCAGTTCTTTCTGTCAGTCTCTCATTATCTTTGAGCATGGACGTACACAAACACCACCGCCAGTCACTCACAACGATGCCCATTATGGCGAGCCATATCACACCACCTCGTCCTTCACCTCGCCATCTTCCCTCACAAACTCACTATCTCGTCCTTTTCCCTCTCTGTTCACTGATGCATAGCGCCACTGCCACTCAATCTTGCGAACTCCAGACAGATTTCCAGTTCTTCGATCAAGAAGCAACGAAGGTGGAAAACTCCCCTAGTTTTTCGGTGGCTTTCGAGCCATTTTCCAACCAACTCCGGCCACGACTGAGGAAACTAAGGGTATATTCCGACTCCTTGCTTGTTGGGCTTCATTTTGATATATTGGATGACTAGGTTTAGTGAAGATTTAGGATTGATCGGAGTCGAAAATTATTCTGGCCTTCCCTTTCGCCAGTGACTAGGACCGGGTTGACCCGACTTGTAACCCAAACATGATCCAAAACCAACAACCAGGCCCAACCTAATAACCAAGCCTAATCCAATAACCCAGCCCAACACAGCAACCCAAAACCTAGATTCGACCCAACCAAGACCTAATTCCTAGTTTCCATGGTTGGTGCGTAGGTGCACGTCATGGCCGACGCATAGAGCACACACTCCTCCGTCGGAGGTATTATGCTTCGCCGCTGTCCACGGCAACTGTGGCGACTTTTTTGGGGACCCATCTCGATGTGTGGCAGCGTGTGGTAACCCGGGCTGCTGCCCCGTGGCAGCGCGTGGAGGAACCCAAGGTCCCTCTTTAGGTTTTTCGACGTGCCAAATCCGAATCCGCTGTCTATTTTCCTAAAATCTATCGTTTTAGTGGAGTTTTATTAAATGGTCTCTATTTGTGTTTAGGTGCGTCGGTGGGAAGTGACCTTATCCTCCCTAATTCGAGTGGCTCACCGACAACGGAATATCTATGAGTGGACCCCTTCTTAAATTGTATGTTTTTATAAAATATTAGGCTTGCATTCACGAAAAGCTTGATTTCATGATTTTATGTTTTCTGCATTATTTATGATTTATCAAATTATGTTTTACAAAACGTTATGAATTATTGGATTTGCGCGTATGATATATTATGGATTTACGAGTATGATTTATTATGGTTTAAGAATTGATGCTTTGAGTTTTTGAGCTCTGGTGATTTGACATGAGATTTTGAATTACGTTTTCTGTGCTTATCTGGTGGGTTATCATACAACACATACACACAACACGAGTATGTATACGTCTATGGCCATATGACACAATTGATGATAGTTATGACATATTCCCAGCTTCACTGGTGAAACCAGTGTCGGACAGCTTCATTAGCCACGGCCAATGTCGGTGTGTTATGTTATATGTATATATTTCTTCACTGGCGTAACCCAGAGTCGTACAGCTTCACCTTCGGGTGATAGACCTATTATATTTCTTCATTGGTGTAACCCGATATCGTACAACTTCATCTTCGGGTGATGGACCTATTATATTTCTTCACTGGCGTATACAATTTCACCTTTGGGTAATGGACCCACTGTATTTCTTCACTAGCGTAACCCAGTGTCGTATAGCTTCACCTTCGGGTGATGGTTATGCCTTCAGGCGACTGTGATACCCCTAGTTGAGTACATCATTGATGTGATTTACGGATTAACCTTTGAGTGACTATATTACCATTACTGAGCACTGGTTTACACGTACATATTTTACGAATGTTTTTCATGGCATGTTAGAGATTTTAGAAAAACCTATTACGTAGTATTATATATGTTTTCAAAACAGGATATGTTCAGAAAGAAATCGGTTTTTATTATTATTATAAACTTTGGTCCACTCACCCTTTGTTATGCGCCCCCTTCAGGATTTAGAATCAAGGCATACAATTCCGGTGTCAGGGCATTTCCGGATAGATATCTTTGAGTCTTCTCAGTGGAGGACCCATTCCTTTGTTCGTACCTTCTTATAGTAATTCTTTCACATTATTTTTGATTAGTTGTATGCTCTGAACACGTTTTCGTATTGACATATTTATTTCTAATTACATATTTTATTTGTATGCATGTTTAAAATGGCTTCGTCACCCTTGGGTGTTGTCTAGCACGTGCCCATCCTGGTGTGTAGAGGATATTGGGATCGAGGCATGTCATGTGTCACTGAATCGATACTGTATTATGATGACATAGGCAAAGTGAGACACATGTTGAGTTGGTTAAGTATCAAATTTTGAGTTTCATGAGGTTAAATGAGATGTAAGGATGTACTATCTCGGATATTTCGTTATAACTAATTACTTAAACAACAACAAAAAAATCGGTTATAATTATATACAGAAAAAGAAAATATTAAATAAATTAATTAAATATTAAAAATAACAAAACCACCAGACCATGAATTCCCATCCATTCGACTCTATTGCAAGTCTGCAACCCTAGCTGTGATACTAACATATCTTTGATTTAAAAAATAAAAAATAAAAAATAAGTCTCTCTCTACTCTACTTCCACGTTGTTTGTTCTTTCCCAATAAAAAAACAATGTTCATACACAAAACATATAGCCATATACTAGTACGCACATTAGAAAAAGAAAAATTTAATCGACATTTTTCCTTTTTGAGAGTGGCCTCTTCGCCCTAGAACCCTAGAAAAACCAACACAAAAAATCACATCAAATGGGCCTGTTGGGCCTGTTTAGTTGGGTTTGCGGTAGAAAAGCCTAACCCTTTCCTTATATAGTTTTCTTTGTTGTGTGTAAAACTCCAGTTGCTAGAGGCGCCGCCGCCGCTTCTCTCAAACCCTCAAACTCTGAAACCTTCGAACTCTGAAACCTTCGTCGTCCCCTCTCTCACTCTGTCGTAAAGTAAGTCCTCGCGGATCTCCGTCACCGCATTTCGCATACTCTTCTTCTTCTAATTGGGGTTTTGTATTTCTTTTAATTTATTTGCAGCTTGTTTTCTTTACTTGTTCAGATTTTTTCATATTTTTAAAGTTAAAATTACACCATTTCTTATCAGAAAGTTGCTTGAGCAATATCTGTAATTTATTACTGACAAAAATCACAATATTATTTGGTTAATCTCTTTTCTCAAGCGGCTCAACGAGTCATTAGTGTGATTAATCCAAGCTTGCATCTTATTACGCATGTATCAGGATTTTTGATGTTGTTTTGTTGCAGACCATGTATTCATTTGTATGTTACTATTTGTTAAATTCTCCTTGGAAAAAAAATGAAGCATAATGTTTTTAGCTAAATTTTCTCAAGTTGTGTGAGTCTTTTGTTATTCTTGGATTAGTAACAAGTAACAACTGCCTTTGAATGGTTTCATACTTGTTCATGCTGAGAGATTTTTGAATTTTAAGCTTGGTTATGTGCGGTTTAGTGAGGAATTTCGCTCTCATAATGACGGCCATGAACTTATGATTTTAGTGATGAAATTAGTCATTTAGGTTCATTATCTATTTAGTTGTTTCTGTCTATAAAATTTATGTTAATGGTTGTTGATACGTATTGATGCATCTCCGGGTTATATGCATTTTCTTGTGGCTGTTGTTAAGGTGTTGGTGGGGTTCTTATTAATTTTTGTGTTGACAAGTACTTAAATGACAGTTATGAACTTATGATTTTAGTGATGAAATTAGTCATTTAGGTTCATTATGTATATAGTTGTTTCTGTCTATAAAATTTGTGTTAATGGTTGCTGATACGTATTGATACATCTCCGGGTTATATGCATCTTTCCAGTGGCTTTTGTTAAGGTGTTGGTATGTTTCTTGTTAATTTTTGTGTTGAGAAGTACTCTTGTGTGTTCTTTAGGTATAACAGACTAGTGTGAATATAAACTAGACGTTTTAAATCAGAGGATGTGCTGTGAGAATCAGGTTTTAATTATTATTGCATTGGTTAGGAACTTAGGAATTAGGATACTCATATTTTTTACTTTCAGTGTATGGTAAACCTAACCTGGGTATTAACTTGTTTTTTTATATTTTTTTAAGCAGATCAGTAAGTAAACATGGTTCAATATAACTTCAAGAAGATGACTGTTGTACCAAATGGGAAGGACTTCATTGACATTATCCTGTCTCGCACTCAGAGGCAGACCCCAACTGTAGTCCACAAGGGTTATGCCATTTCCCGCCTTCGTCAGTTCTATATGCGCAAAGTCAAATATACCCAACAGAATTTTCATGAAAAGCTCTCCACAATAGTTGATGAGTTTCCTAGGCTGGATGACATCCACCCTTTTTATGGCGACCTCCTTCATGTTCTCTACAACAAAGACCACTACAAGCTTGCACTTGGCCAAATCAATACTGCGAGAAATCTTATTGGAAAGATTTCTAAGGATTATGTGAAGTTGTTGAAGTATGGTGATTCACTTTACCGATGCAAATGTCTCAAGGTCGCTGCTCTTGGCCGCATGTGCACGGTTATAAAGAGGATCGGTCCTAGTTTAGCTTACCTGGAACAAATTAGGCAGCACATGGCAAGGCTACCTTCAATTGACCCTAATACCAGGACAGTATTGATTTGTGGGTATCCGAATGTTGGAAAGAGCTCGTTCATTAACAAGATCACAAGGGCTGATGTGGATGTCCAGCCCTATGCTTTTACCACCAAGTCACTCTTTGTGGGGCATACAGATTATAAATACCTGAGGTACCAGGTAATTGATACACCAGGGATCTTGGACCGACCATTTGAAGACCGTAACATTATTGAGATGTGCAGCATCACAGCTTTGGCCCACTTGAGAGCTGCGGTTTTGTTCTTCTTGGACATCTCAGGGTCTTGTGGGTACAGCATTGCCCAACAAGCAGCTCTTTTTCATAGCATCAAGTCTCTGTTTATGAACAAACCATTGATTATAGTCTGCAACAAGACTGATTTGCAGCCATTGGATGGTATATCCGAGGAAGACAAGAAGTTGGTCGCAGAGATGAAATCTGAAGCTATGAAGACAGTGATTGGTCAGGGAGGTGAGGCTACAAATGATGATGGGGTACTCTTGACCATGAGTACTTTGACTGAGGAGGGGGTAATTGCCGTAAAGAATGCAGCTTGTGAGAGGTTGTTGAATCAGAGAGTTGAGCTGAAGATGAAATCCAAAAAGATAAATGATTGCTTAAATCGTTTTCATGTTGCCATGCCAAAGCCTCGTGACAACAAGGAAAGGCCCCCATGCATACCTCAGGCAGTTATAGAAGCTAAGATTAAGCAAGCAGCGGAGAAGGAAAAGAGACAGACAGAAAGGGATTTGGAGAATGAGAATGGTGGTGCAGGTGTATACTCTGCCAGCTTGAAGAAGCATTATATCTTAGCTAATGATGAATGGAAAGAGGATGTCATGCCAGAAATTCTTGATGGGCACAATGTGTCTGACTTTGTTGATCCTGATATTTTACATAGGCTTGAGGAGTTGGAACGAGAAGAAGGACTCCGTCAGGAAGAGGACGGTGATGATTTTGAGATGGATGGATTGGAATTGACTCCAGAAGAGAAAAAGACATTGGCTGCGATCAGGAAAAAGAAAAGCTTGCTCATTCAAGAACATAGAATCAAGAAAAGCACAGCAGAGAGTCGACCCATTGTACCAAGGAAATTTGACAAGGATAGGGAATTCACAACAAAGAGAATGGGGAGGCAGCTATCAAAATTAGGAATTGATCCTAGTAGGGCAATTGAACGGGCCCGAAGCAGATCTGTCTCTAGGGGGCGGAAGAGAGAGAGATCAGTTGACAGGGGTGATAATGATGGTGGTGATGCTATGGATGTGGATACACCCAACAAGAAGCAGCGTATGTTATCTAGATCCCATTCAAGGTCTAGGTCAAGGCCTCCGACTGAAGTTGCCCCTGGAGAGGGCTTCAAGGACTCTAATCAGAAGGCTAAGGCACTACAGAAGGCCAGGAAATCTAATAAGAATAGAAACAAGGATGCTCGTCGTGGAGAGGCAGATAGGGTCATTCCCACTCTAAAACCAAAGCACTTGTTCTCTGGAAAGCGCTCAATAGGAAAAACCCAAAGGCGTTGAAATATTTGAGGTACCTCATACACATTGCATCACTTTCAGTTCAGCTTGTCTTTCTTTTGACCACTTATTGGGAAAAATTTAGTGGTGTGCTATCCACACACCCCATTTTACTTCTCACACACCCCTTGATAATTTATGTTCGTTGATGTTCTTCAATTCATCTGATCCGACGGCCAAAAATTAAAATGATGTGTGAGAAGTAAAATGGGGTGTGGATATCACACCCCAAAATTTATTATAATGATTTCTTTATTATGAGCCTTGGCTTTAGGCAGGTGTATGTTTTCTGCATATTACATGTTTTTCGGACCAGTTGCATTCCTTTTTTTTGTCTATTACATACTTGAAGCACCCATGTATTTGATGCGGATGTACGAGAATACTTTCGTGTAACTAGCAGATAGAAGTTTTCAGTCCAGTGGAGTTTAGATTTTCACTTAATAATATTTGAGGTATTAAGACCGAAGAAATAGATTTGTCAGGTGCCCAACTTTTTGATGTTTCCGGTAGTAATCAATAGACCTTTTCTTCTTGCAGGATGGTTGGTTTGTGCCTTTGCAGCATGCACCGGGAAGTGTACTTGCTGATGAGAAAGCACTTAGTTCTTTAAACTTGTGGTTCGTCTCGGCAGGGGATTGCGGCATGAAAGATCATGTAACCAGACTTTATAGTTTCCGTATTTAATATTTGTGTTTTTGGTTTTGAATTTACACAGAATTGTTTGTTTCTGTTCCCTTTCGCTTTCGTAATTTGTAGTTTGACGTACTGTGAGACGTTGAAACTGCTGTTTCTTTTGCTTGCGGAATGAAAAAGGTTCACTTTTTGGCATGTTTAAGTGAATTGCACCAACCAAATGAGTTATTTAATCGATTATCCTTTTGGATTTGATTTTTCGAATTTCAAAATTCACTCTGGTCCGGCCTCAGGATTTGAATTTGGATGAAGGGATCAGTGTATTCTTGCAGGAAAAGAAAACTTTGGTTGGTTAGGAATATTCCTCATTGCAGGCTTCTCCTCTAACTTGAAAAAAAAATACCCCCTTTCCCATTTTATTTCATAGCACAAAACGTTTATGTGATGGTGCACTTGTGATTTGAAAGTTATTCGTAAGGCATTCACAAGGGGGGTCCTTGCATTCGGGTCACTTATGAACTCATTTGGGTAAACCCGAATGCATAATTTCTCTCGTGTGTTTTGGGAAATTAAACCAAATTAAACCAAGCTAGTCAAGAATTTCCCGTAAAATGGGCTTAGTTTAATTTGCATTTATGTGACTAGCTTGGTTCAGGTACGAAATTGCGTTTGTGCTTGTAAGAAGTTTGTGAGGATAAAAGTGCTGATTTTCACCACTATTTGTGATTATTGGAGGTCTATTGAACCTTTGTGTGCTTGTAAAAGTTTGTGTTACTCTCCATATTGCAACGTACGTTTTTACCAGGATGTGATATTCTTACTCTCACATCACCTTAAATTTCATTTTTCACAGTGACGATGAGTAAAAGTTAAAAGTTAAAGACAAGTTGAGCTTGAGTTGAGATTCATAAAATAATAACTAAAAAAAATAAAAAAATAAAAATAAACTGGGGCTTCGTATTTCAGACTTGGGATGAAGCTTTTGTTGCCAACCATTCATCCAAGATAACGACATATCCCAACCGAAGTGTGTCCTTCCCTCCTTGGTCCTTTCTTTGATATTAGCCTTTGGAAGTTTGAGATAACCAGACACCCAAAGAGATAGCGTTCGGCAGACAGAGAGAAGAAATATGGCACTGAGATTGTGGGCTTCTTCTACAGCCAATGCACTCAGAATCTCCACTGCCTCCAAATCCCACCTCTCTCCTGCATTTTCTCTCTCCAGATGCTTTTCTACTGGTACGTACACTACACACTCCTCTCTCAACTTCATATTATATGGTTTAATAAGTCAATTTCTTTACATCTGTTTGATGCTACTAATATCGAAGGATGCTGCCAATTCATGCATGATTTTGTTCAACTAGAATTTATGAGTGCTATGCAGATTTGGTTTTAGCGAAGTTGGCTAGAGCAGTGTGCTCCATCATCTGCAGTAATTTGCACTCAAGTTTGAATCCCCCACCTCGTAGTTTAAATTAATTTAGTGTAAATGTCATCGTTTGTCAAAGAAGATGGTGAATTTTAGGAGTGCTATGTATTTGGGGTATTTTAAAGTTTGTTGTTTTTGGGTAATTAAGTTGAAAAGGTTTGGATATTGCAGTTTTGGATGGATTGAAGTATGCATCTTCACATGAGTGGGTGAAACATGAAGGCTCAGTGGCAACAATTGGTATCACTGATCATGCTCAGGTTAATATTAATATGCATATCTCCATTTCTTTATCTTCGATGTCTCTTGCAACTGGATTGAAGAACTATTTGTTTTTCTGAATTGTGTTGTGTAATTATTTCGTTTCCATAATGTTACATCGACGTAATAAAATATAAAATAATCATCTCAAAAGTTGCACGTAAGTGTATAGACCATGGAATGGGTGATGTAGGTGAAGCTTTGTTTCAGGACCATCTTGGAGAAGTAGTGTTTGTTGAGCTGCCAGAATCTGGTCGTTCAGTCTCTCAAGGAGGCAGTTTTGGAGCTGTTGAAAGTGTCAAAGCAACCAGTGATGTAAATTCCCCGATCTCCGGCGAAGTCGTCGAGGTTAACTCAAAGCTTACTGAATCACCTGGTTTGGTAATTCATCTTCCTTTTTGCCTATACTTATTATTTTTCCTTAAGCAATGGTTAGCCTTCTTTCAATATTCTTCAAATATTCATTATATATACTCCGCATGCACGTTTTGATAAAGTACTGTACTTTTGTTGAAACAGTTTGACATGTTATGTTGCTAAACCGTTAATCGATTTTGGGTTTATTTAGATCAATTCGAGCCCCTATGAAGATGGATGGATGATCAAGATCAAGCCCAGCAGTCCATCAGAGCTAGAATCCTTGTTGGGACCTAAAGAATACACGAAATTTTGCGAGGAAGAAGATGCAGCCCATTAGATATAGGCATGCAGTGAAGACCCTACAATCTTGAACTAACTGATGTTCAGCTGTTTAAGGTTCAATTAATGTTTGATTAAGTTGTTATTATTATCAAAGTACTGCAACATCTAAATCAAATGTGCTTTATTTATTTCCCTTTCTACTGTCCCATACATCAAGTTTCAACCTTCTGCCTACATTTCATGTGAATAAAAGTACTCGTTCAATCAAAACCCCAAAAGGTTCATGGAATCGTTTTCATACCACAAAAAAATATAAAATTAAATGCAATTAGGGTGCGTTTGTCGCATCAAACTTTCTGGGACTAAATTAGTTTTAGGGATCAATCTGAATTGTATTGGTTTGGACTAAACAGGATAAAAATAGTGAAGTGTTTGGTGCAGTGCTGAATTAAGTTTCTAACTAGAATATTTTAAACCCAATATTTTTGTTAGTAGGACAACAGGAAATCAAGAAACATAAATTTTCGATTGCAAATCACACATTCAACTGGATACAGACTATTCCAAATTTATTCGGTTTGCCTTATACAAGAGCCTTGAAGGCCTGAACAGAGGATAAAACATTAGAATTGTAAAGAATCTTTCCATAAAGTTTCTCACAGTCGATCTTGTACTGAACAAGAATAACAGATCCAAAACACAAAGCTTAGCAACTCAATATGTCGATTAAAGATTATCAAAACTACAACAGTTCAGTCAAATGAGGGTACTGGATTTAGTCTGTGACAATGCCAAATCCATTCACAATCAAGAGGAACAACCAAAGGTCCTTCAGAAATTTGGGACTCTGAATGTTTGGCAAGCATCGGGAGCCAACAAGCATTTTACCTGTAATTCCAATTTGGCCAGGCGAAAAATTTCGATTGCAAAATACACGTAACGTTGTTTCATGAACTGAATCCCACAAATCCCAAATGGAGATTGAAAATTAAATGGGCTTCTAATTTTCTGGGTGAAATTCTCTCTGTTCAGGATAATGAAGAAACAGAGAGAAGAGGAAGAGAGATTCCTAAGGTGGGCTAGCTAGGATAAAGGGATATGGGAAGGACACAGACTCACAGTGGGAGGGATCTCTCTCTCTCTCTCTCTCTCTCTCTCTCAGAGCTTTAAGCACAGGAGAGCTTTAAGCACAGGAAGGGATGAGCGTTACATAAAAGCATTTTCATTTCTAAGAATATGAAAGCAAGTCCATGCGAACTTTAACGAAAAGTTCTCAGTACTATTTATTTTAATGAAAAACCACATTTTTATATAAAAAAGTCAATCTTGGTACTGTTCACTTTACTCTTTATTTTATTCTTATCGTTAGAACTCAAAGTTTTCAAGTATTTTTCATTAATTTTCCTCTCAAAATAAGCATACACCTTGCTCCGCAATGATACAAAAACGAGAACACAAACTATTGAAACCAAGTTCTAAAATATCGATGATATCGGAAATTTCGATGGAAATATCGAGATATGATTGATATCGATAAAAATTGAATAAAAACAACGGAAATTGTAAGAAAAACTTGGAAATTTTTATTGAAACTTTGCATGATGTTTATTTAGTCAATTATCTATTAGTTTATCACAAAAAATTGGAAGGAAATGCATTGCTTGATGGATTTAACTGATTTAAGTTGATTATATAGCAAGCTGGCAAACATTGTGAGTGTAGAAAATATATAGTAAGTAATGAAAGAAGTTTAAGCACACCATAATCATTTATATATAATGAATTAGTACAATATTTTACACTTTATACGTTGCATGGTAAGATACATGAGTGGCTTAGTACCATATAGAGTTCCTATGAGGTTCAAAATTTTCACTATCTTCATCATCTCTATGTGTAGAGTAAGTGTATTGTGAAGAGTAGTCATCAAATGATAAATCCCCAAAATAGTTTTGCATGTAATTGTTAACATGCCACCCATATGGATCCGAGATTGGTTGACGTTGTCCATAAGCAAAATCATTTGAAGATTGAGTCTTAGATTCTTTCCATGAGTCACTCAATTCCATCCCAACAGGAATGAGATATGAAGGGTAGGGAAATGGTTGGTTATAAGTATAACCATAGTTACTACTTCCCACTCCAATAGAGTCTAAAGTTATAGTTAACGAGTCATCTTCTTGACTTGACAAAGTCCCCTTGCCTCTTTCTCTACGAGTATAGTCCTTCCCTATGGCACCAATTCCTGGTCCTGCCTGCCTACTGCCATGGTCCTCATCCTATGTTGCATGCGTGAAGTTTGCCTCACCAGTGAAGGGGCTCATAAATCTGGGAGGTGGTCCAACATAGTTTCCATATCCACCACTACCTCCAGCTTCACTATATCATTCATCATTCCCACCTCCGGTGGTAGGTGAGTCTCCTGATCTTGTACTAGAGCTATCATTAGTATCAGCAGGATCTTGTGGTTGTGTAGGATTGGAAGAAGGTGGAATTCTAGTGTTTCTTGGTCTTGGGCGCAAAAGTTCTTCCAAAGAGTTAGCGCTACTAGATCCCACCTCCTCCTTTAATACTCTTTCTACATTTATCCCTTCATTACGTGCTTCTTCAACAACTCTTAGAGCTGGGTTGCCTTCATCATAATCTAAATGAAGAGGTCTAATCCATTGATAAAGTTGGTTACCCTCTGCATCATCATCTTCAGCAACAATATCAAACACATCTCGTGGGTCACCACGGTTGACATGATCTATTTCTTCTTCCTTTTCTCGAATTTGAAGCTTCATGTTGTAGTAGCAATAAACTAATTTTTCCAACCTACTATGAGCCAAACTATTTCTTTGCTTTGTGTGTATGAGTGCAAATGTACTCCAATTTCTTTCACAAGCAGATGAGGAAGTTGTTTGTGATAATACTTTGATTGCTAACTTTCTCACAGTTGGTGCATCAGTCCCATACATGATCCACCATTCAACTATAATGAAAAACAATGTTGATAAGCCTAATAACTCCAACAAATTCTATTATAAACTGATAGTGAAATATGTTTACACTCACTAGGAGACATTTTTGTTCGAGCAGCAACTGATGTTGGTTCTCCAAAAGTTCTTCTTGCATCTTTAAACCATGTTAGCTGAATTCAATAAATCGTGTTAGTTTAATCCAACAATGTAATTATTATAATTTAAGTAATTGTGTACCTCATTTCCATATTGGCCAACTGCTGGTGATGCAGGGTCTAATTTAGAGTATACATTATGTACAACACGTATAAGGGTACCATGATTTCCAACACTGGGTCTGTATTGGTATTGAGGATTCAACTAATATGCTATTCAAAGAAACACATACTCTAATAAGAGAAATAATACTTATGCAACTAAAGAAATGAATTGCAAATTATAACATAATTTATACCTGCTGCATGCAAATCGTGGTATAATATTTTATACCATCGGTCATCAATTATCTTTATGACCCACCTTGCACCATGTTTTCTTTCCAAGTCCTCCTTCACTACACGCATAAACTCATATATTGCCCTCATAGTAGGATGCACTTCTGTGTCAATGATCCGTAAAACTTTGTAAAGAGGTTCAAACACTTGGCACACATGTTCTGATTGAGTTCAAAAAGCATGATCAAGCACTATACTTTCCACCATACAACCTGCATTTGAGCGGTTGAAATCGTGGTTGGCCCAATCGTCACTAGTGAATAGTTGCTTCAACCCTGCTTTCTTCTTAAGTAGGCTATCTAATGCAATATAGTTGGTGGCGAATCGAGTGGTAGTTGGACGAATAATTTCTCCTTTGCAAAATTCACGCATCTTTGCCAACAACCAATTGTGATTGTAAATATAATTTGTGATCGTTCTAGCTCTTTTTACGACATTAGCAATATTCTCTCTCTTTCCCATTGCCTCAAACATGAGATAAATACAATGTGCTGCACATGATGTCCAAAACACATTATGATGCTTCATTAACTTTTTTCCAGCTTTGACAAATGCAGAATCGTTGTCGGTCATGACTTGGACAACATTATGCTCTCCCACCTCCATGATTACATCCCTTAATAATTTGTAAATATACTTGTAGTTCTTTATATGGTCTGAAGCATCAACGGACTTCAAAAAAATTGTCTTTCCCTTAGAGTATACCATGAAGTTTATGATAGACAATCTGGTCAGGCCAGTCCATCCGTCACACATGATTGTGCAACCATTAGTTTCCCACTTTGACCTCAACTTGTTAACATACTCGCCAATGTCTTTATACTCCATTTCCAAATATTTGTTTTTTACCTCATAGGGAGTGGGAGGTTGTACCAACATCGGCCTGTTGATATCCCAATACCATATTTTTGAAATAATGTGTTGATGCCTTCTCAGCAGGGACATTTTCATAGATAAAGAACTTGCTAATTAGACGCCCCATTCCCTCCTTCACATTACCTCCAGTGAAATAACTCCAAACACTCTTTTGACGTGCTTTGGATGACTTATATAAACTTGCGGCTATTGGTGGTGTTGGTTGTGATTCTCTAACACTTGCTCCCCGTCTCATTTGTGCACCACCACTTGTCCCGAAACCTTGTGCTCTATTAGAAATTTTATGAAGGTGTTCTCTTTCCCATGCTGACTGTTTGGAGGCACGTAATGCTTGTTTGAAATTGCGTCGTTCTTCAAGTCCCATGTCATCATCACATTCGCCCTCATCGTCATCATCATCACTGTCAACTACTTGGCCAATGACTTCTACTCGTAGCCCATCTCGAATATTTTCCATTCCATGTGTTTTCTTTTCCTTTTGGTGTTTTTTATTTTTTAATAATGTGGTGATGAATGCCTTCACTTATGGGGGGACATTATCGCATCGTTGGACATTATTTCCTGAATTAATCCACTAAGATGGTACTTAAGTCGTGTCACTCCGCCACTCTTCATTACCCGACCACAATATTTGCAAATTGTGCCATGTTTGTTTCCATCTATTGGGTCTCCATGTTCCCAAGTTGGATCACGTTTAGTAACTCCACTAGACATCTTAAACATACCTATATTTATTTTTCATGGAAATTAGGCAATTGTTTTTTGGCCAAAAAATATAGTAGTGATGGTTATATAAGAGAACCTAAATAATAAAGTTATTCTACAGAAGAATTAAATAGGAAGTAAAGAAAATGATTGTAAGAATTTAAGTAATTATAAAAATAATATGGAATAATAAAACCTAATATTAATGAATAATAATCCAATTTGATAATAAAATAATAAATAACATTAAACATATTAAAATTATCGTAGGGAATAATTATACAACATTACTTAATTACTTCAAAAAAATTAACATGCAAGTATTATTTGGTTCTTAGATCACATGCACATGCCCACACAAATTTTTTTGTTGTTGTATAAATTACAATAATATAAATATAAGTTTGTAAACTTACCTTAAATATGGAACCCTTTGTGTAAAGGCCAAATAGAATCTGCGTGGACCAACAATAAAATAATAATTACACAAATGTGATGAAAACATATAAAGTCTTTAATAATGAATTAAGAGACAATAAACACACATGTAAGTGACCAAATAAAAAATAGAAAAATTAAAAACCACATGCCATCGACTAAGTAATTAATTGACACAATTTAAAATATAATACCACCAAAAATTTGGAATAGATAATAACAAACATGCAAATTAAATAACAATAATGAATGAGAATAACTTACTATAGTTCAGTTTTTTTTTAACTTGGGGGGAAATTGAGGTTGATAGATGTTGAGAATAACATGAGCATTATGTTTTGTTTTGGAGAGATGTTGAGAATAAGGGACGGCATGGGACCATTTGATTTTATTTGTATATATAGAAATAGAACTACCTAACCATATATATAGAAACATGACTACAACTAATTAGTTAGGTGAGTGAACGTGGTGAGTAGTTCAAAAGTAGATGCTTGAAAAGAAATTGTCAAACATTCATTGTCATGTGCAAATTTGTTTCTTGCAAAAAGAATTCAAAACAAAACCATATATATAAATATTTTAGCATATTTTCACTAAAAAATAAGTGATATGGTGGTCAAGGTGTTGAAGAAGTAAAATGGGAGGGGTTCGAAGTCCCTTGGTGTTTTTTTAAATATAGAAATTTATCCTAGATAATAAATATTAGCTTGTAAGCCTTGCAGACATCTTAACGACCATATAAATATTACACGCTGAATATGTAATCACAAACACATCTGTAGCGAGTTGGATAAGGCCCAGGTGCGTGGTTGACAAAGGGAGGGGTTTGAATCCCTCTATGCTCAAGATTGAGACTTTTCAGCATTTTTCAAGTATTTTTGGGTTTCATCTTGCGATATTATCGATATATTGCCCAAATATATGCATTAAAATGCTGAAAATATATTGACGATAATTAAGTGGATATGTGTGAAAATATCGCCCTCTTAAAAAAACGATATTATCGGCATTTAATAGACTTATAATTATATATGGATTTTGATAGATTTATATGGATTTCTATTATAGATTTCTATAAATTTGTATGAACTTCTTTAATGAATTTCTCAAGATTTTTAAAATTTTCATGAATTTCTTAAGAGTTCTATGTATTGGTGCGTAGCTCTAAGTAAAACCACGATTCACTTTCGACAACAGTTGGGGATACTAAATGAGCTTACATGATGAAAGAGTGGATATAGATAGTATTTGGGAGTTTTAACGAAACACTTTCGGTACTGTTCACTTTTAACAAAAAAATCATTTTTACTCTAAAAAGTCACTTCCGGTACTATTCACTTACACCATATTTTTGTCTTTTTGATTAAAACTCAAAGTTTTCAAGCAATTTAATTGGTTTTCCTATAATATTTTTCTACTTGCAGTACTTGAGCAAATGATAGAGACCAAAATCTCAAACTTTAACCAAAATCAATAGTTTCCAATTTCTAGGTTTGCAATGGATACGAAACCAAAATCCATTTTCTTTACCAAAAATTGCCAAATTTGTTTTATCACAAACTACAAGCACATAACAAACGCAAAAGATTCAATCTTTTCTTAGCTTTCCTACCATCCAAACAAAATTAAAGAAAAAAAACGAAGACAGGAAATGAAAGAATTAACCTTCAGAACTCCACGGCGGTATTGAATCGAGGATGGCGAGTGCGGGATCTTCCTCGTTCAAAATTTTGGGTTCGGGGCAAGGATGAGGGAGAGAGTGGTGGTGAGCTGGTGGTCGTAAGACAAGCATTTTTTTATTAATTATTTCTATATAAAAATGCCAAGAACCATCACGTCCATTTGGATTCATCATCCTTGTAATATGAAGGTTTATCGCACTAATGACACCAGGAGTCTATCAATGTAACTAGACTCCTTGTACAGTTGTTATTCACACGCGTATTAGTTCGGAAACACAACAAATATATTTACAATTTCTGAAAAAAGAGTAAGTCCACGACTGATAACGCCAGCGTTGCTGGTAATCCTTGGGGTTTTCAAATCGCAAACGCTCAAGTTTTGATATCGGGGGATTGCACATTAGAAATAGACATCAGTTCAGAGACATTCTTCTCATGTCCATCCCCGTGTGCCACCACAACCCTGTCTACCACAGCCAGAAAACTCAGGTCGAGAACCTGATCTGGTACAGGGTAAGATATTGCGATAAGCAACTCCCTGGCCAGCTCTTCAGAAACCTCCTTGCAGAGTACTCCATTATCCATCAAATTCCGAATCTTCCTGCATTTCAAAAACCCAACTGTTATCAAGCTGTGATAAGCTTCGGCAAACACCAAAATTTTTGCTATTCTTTTTCTATGACCTGCTCTAGTACTGTGTCCACCCAAAAGCTGTTCCATAGTTATCCAGCTGCTGTGCATAAACCAACTTTGAACGTCCGTTTGCATATGACATTACAGACACCACCGGTTAAGATGCACACTTAAGAGAAATATTTGTTACAATCATCATGATTTTGGACCTTTTAACTATCCAAATCCAACTGTGGTAAAACGTTAGATAGGAGAGATTAGAAATGCATCATATAAGCTATACAACGGCACGTTGAAGGAATTTGTAATGGCTCCTTTTGAGTCACATTGCCAGTTTAATGCTCATAATTTGTTTATCAACTTGACCTCAATCTTATTAGTGTATAAGCTGTGAGCTAAGTAAAGTTTAAAGTAAATAAGCCTTGTTTCTAATTGTGTATTCACTTAGTCTTAGATTATGACAAGTGTAAGGCTGAGATTGTATTGTTGGTGTGTGTATCCAGCTAAGCCTTGTTAACAGAGTTATTCCCTTTTGCACGATTGTGTGTGCTGTGTGGAAAAATACTTTTACAAAAGAATGAAAAGGTTCCTCTGTAACTTGTAGAGAGAATAGCAGCATTTCTTCATTCTCAGTGCATTTTTTCCTTCTTCCATTTTCAAAACGCTAACATGGCCTCAGAGCCAGGATCGATTGTTTGAGATCTGGGCGTAAAACCAATCGAGCTACACTCGAACTCGTTCCGGGTTGGGTGACGTTGCTAGAAATTTACAAAACTCGATTTCGATTTGTATTCGCATCATCAAAGCTCGAAGATGGCTGGACCTGGAAGTTCTGAGGTGAGAACTCCGATCTTCTCCGGTGAGAACTACGAGTTCTGGAGAATCAAGATGGTGACGATCTTCAAATCTCATGGGTTATGGAAATTAGTTGAAAAAGGGATTACGATCTCAGAAACAAAGAAGAAGAAGAAGGCTGAAGGAAGCTCGGAGGAAGAAGAAGACGATGAGAAAATGGTCGCAGCATATATGCAAGATGCAAAAGCTCTGGGTATTATTCAGAACGCAGTCTCAGATCAGATATTCCCTAGAATAGCCAATGCAGACTCTGCGAAGATGGCATGGGATCTGTTATATGGTGAGTACCATGGTGGTGATCAGGTAAGATCTGTGAAACTACAAAATCTGAGACGTGAATTTGAGTATGCTAGGATGCGTGATGATGAAACTCTGTCTGGGTATCTTACTAGGCTAAATGAATTGATCAATCAGATGAAAACATTTGGTGAGAATCTGTCTAATGAAAGGCTTGTACAGAAAGTGCTCATTAGTCTCAGTAAACCATATGATCCCATATGTCTAGTTATTGAAAATACCAAGTGCTTAGAAACTGTAGAACTGCAGGAGGTTGTAGCAATTTTGAAGAGTCAAGAACAACGATTTGATTTGCATAATGTTGATGTCACTGAAAAGGCTTTTGCCTCATTCTCTGTG